TGGCATTGCGTAAGCGTTATTCACGGTTAAACAAAAGTGTTTTATGTGCTCCTGATAGCTAAACAATAATTGTGTGCTGTTCATATTAAACAAACACGTGTATGAGTGGCATGCTTGCAACAAACACGCAAGCATTCATATTGTGCGTCAATAGTAACATGCACGTGCAATGTCTTTAGGAATATGAATTGAAAGATTTATTTATTTATTTTTATTTAAGTTTATACGAAGCACAATTACTGTTTTCCGTTATAATTAATTAGTAATTATAGTAGTTAGTAATTATATATATTATATAATTATATAACGGCGTCACCTTTCGGGAACACGTTGTCATTACTATTTGATAGTCATTCATAAACACATGCTTAGGATGTAGCTGGAATCGTAAATGGACTCTGCTTTCAGCAGATATTTCTTATGTTTATTGGAAGGGTTTTGTCGCTTTAATATGCGCGTAGAATAAATTTAGGTCATACAATCGTGCATTTAACACCCTAGAAAACATCAACCATAAATTGGATGGACCTTCGTGGTCTAGCGGTAGAGCGTCCGCCCGGAGAGCGGAACGTCCCGAAAGTCCGGGGTTCAAAGTCCGGGCGCGTCATAGTAAAAGATGGTACTTTTTGTTACCCTGTCTGGCGCTCGGCATTAAGGGGCTAAAGGACTGGTCGGTATTCATGTTAAACTGCGGCATGGTATCTCAGTGAGCTAGCACGATGAATCGGCATCAGTCCAGACTAGTACAAGCAGCCACACAAACACACAGCATCGCTATATAAGTGCAACGTCGCGACGTCAAACCCCATTTCATCTCACCTCACCACCACAGGAACTCGATGATAGCGTGTATAACATAATATATTCGTATAGAAAAAAATCACACCCCTCTATATACATAGAGACAAGGAGTGACACCCGCCATCTTGGTTCTTATTCAAGATTTCGCACTCGGTTCGAATCATAGGTCATTATCGCATGAAAGAACAGACAGACCCAGGGTAACTACGCCCACTTCACCAGATGTTTCCGCAAGGCGGATGATGTTTTATGTCAAGTAATGGTTGAACGCACATTTGAGTGTGCCACAACAACAATTTAACTTATTTAACGGAGGAAGTAAATGCTTGTGTACGTACATTCACGATTGCGATGGAAACATGGAAAGCATCACGATGACCTGACTCAATACAATACAATGGCCTTTTGACTAAAGAGTTTAGGAATTCTTTTCAGAAAGGGTGCATTATTAATGGCCTTGTTTGTGCGATCGATTTATTTTATTTTGTTTTATTATGTTAACGATTTGTTTTGAATCTCGCTTAAAATAGTGTTGTGAAACTAAGAGAATACCAACTCACCTTTTGACATTATACATCGTTGATCAGAACTTGTACTTTCCGGGCAATTTATTTTGCCATACTGCATGCCAGGACCACCGGCCGGTCAGTCATCTACTGCCTCCTCGGTGGAGTGGCGTCTGCCTGGAGAGCGAAAGGTCGATGTTCGATCCCCGGCTGCGTTGTACAAAAACACTTTAAAAGGTGGTGCTTGTTTCCTTGCCGGGGTCGGCATGAGGGAAATAAAAGAAACTACATGTCGGTTCAGTGTCAGTATTCGGTGTATGAGTGGGGTATCCATGTCAAACTGCGGCTAGGTATTTCAGTGGACTAGCTCTATAAAACTTGCTTAACACGCACACGCTCTCTCACAGTTTCTCTTTTTCATTAGATGTAAAGTATGCCTACATAATGATATTTGATCATTATAGAAACTACGTAGTAAACAATATAAAATCAGTTCATAATTACATAAAGCAATAATGACGTAAGATGCGTTTGTAGCATGGTGTGTGTTGTAATGAATATGACGTTTCAATAACTGCTCTACAAATATAATAATGACAGAGGTGCTATTTTTGATCGATTAACATCGATTAATATCAACAGACGCTAATATTAGCTCCACTTGCCTGATTATAGCAACCCACGAAGACAGGGATATTGTATATGAAAACGCCCTTCGACGCTCTCGCAGGTTACATTACAAATATATTCATGACATCTCTCTCTCTCTCTCTCTCTCTCTCTCTCTCTCTCTCTCTCTCTCTCTCTCTCTCTCTCTCTCTCAGACAATCCAATGACTGATATTGTGAGCAACGATCCATAACCTAATTATCGGATCTATTAAATCACCCCTTGCGTCAAGCTGGGGATCAATTCTAACCTGGAATCCCCACTTGGCTGAGGCTCGGTCTGGTGTGTCTTTGGGTGATACGGGGCATGATATGGAAAACAGAGGGTGATAATCTCTACGAAATAAGGACGCTACCTTAAACATAATATCTTCCGCTGGAACATTCTTCATTCACGAGTTGACATAACAGTAACTAACGTTGCGCAATAGAAAGCAAATTTAGACAGATTGAGAGATATGTCGGGGAACAGACGGGACATAAAAATTTGATAATTAATGTCTGATTAAACTCATTAATTATATGCATTAACCCAATAATTCAATCTCACTCTCCTCTCTGAACACCTGCACACACATACACGCATGTGAAACAATTATGTCCGCACACTATCGAGAATCCTTCCATATTTGCGGCCGGGATGTAATCGAAAAACAACTTGTCACCGAAGATTCTTGAACCAAAAAACAATGATTCAGACTATTGGACAACATTTTGCCTGCCACAAAAATGACATGATTGCAAGGTGTTTTGCTTTAAAAACATCAGGCTTGCATAGTTTTAAAAACAAAAAATATCTGGTTTTGTACCTGTAGCAGAAATATCTAACACGGCAACATTAACCTCACAATAGCGAATTGAAGCAGACAATGCATCGATGTATATGCCTAGCATGTGGTCATTTCCTTCCATATTCTTTAATTTGACTGGTATAACAATAAAATACCTGATGATGATAACGTCTACCAATGTACCTGATAGGTACAGTACACTGGGATTAATATTAACAACACATCTAAGGATTCGAGATTAAACATGTTTTTGAAAAAAAATAAAAATCCGAAATTTCCTCAAAACAACACACTCCTTGCGTTACGGGCCGCGGTTCACCTCATGGCCGCCGTCTCAGAAGATGAGCTTTGTAATTAAAACGGACAAAACCAAACACACAGTATATATTACTGCAATAATACCATCCTGATTCGACCCTCGAAGATCCGGGTTAGACACAACACTGCAAACTTGAGTGAGTGAGTGAGTGAGTGAGTGAGTATGGTTTTACGCCGCTTTTAGCAATATTCCAGCAATATCACGGCGGGGGACACCAGAAATGGGCTTCACACATTGTACCCATATCGGGAATCGAACCCGTGTCTTCGGCGTGACGAGCTAACGCTTTAACCACTAGGCTACCCGACCGCCCCTGCAAATTTGAGATCCCAAACACAACTTTTAATCACCATCAAACACGCGAGAGGTTCAACGCGCGAATCACGATAATATTTATCGAATAACAACATACGTTGATTTAAAATAGCGTTATCATGTTGGGACATTTATGCAGATCTGTACAGCTTATTATACTCAATCTTGTATGTACTCGTACTAATATTCACTGATGGAATTATTTACGACGATGACTAATGCACACACGAGGAAGTTGACGAATATGAAACCGACATTACAATCACACAGGCTGCAGTAATGACACATGGTCATGTTTCGAATACTAACCTGAAAGAGCTTTCTTAAAGGATGAGACCCGTGAAGATCCGGGGTAGAATAGGTCTTCAGCAACCCATGCTTACCGTAAGAGGCGACTATGCTTGTCGTAAGAGGCGACAAAAGGGATCGGGTAGTCAGGCTCGCTGAGTCGGTTGATGCATGTCATCGTATTCCATTGGCATAGATCGATGCTCATGATGTCAATCACTGGATTGTCAGGTCCAGACTCGATTATATACAGACCGCTGTCATATAGCTGGAATATTGCAGATTGCGGCGTTAAACAACAAACAACCAAACACACAAATTCACTGTACATGAATATATTCATTTGTATGAATTATGTTAGCTGTGGAGGCTGCGGCACAATACTAATGTGAACATACAGCGTACATTCACCAAGTTATATTTTTAAGATACACTGACTTCAGTTCTGCTCACGGGTGTATATCCACTCTCGTGTAAGGGTGCATTAAGCACATGTACAACAGGTGCCTCAAGCAGTTGAGGTCGTTGAGAAAAAAGACTTTATCCAAAAGCATTATCCCTTCCTAGGCTGCATTCACTGACACATTCGAATCCCGGGCCGATTGTACTTGTTGTTACTCTGCCTGGCGGGGGCACGGGTGGCCCAGTCGTCTAGGGCGCCGCGATTCGCTGTGCAGAGTTGCCTCCCTTGTGCACGCCAGAAACCTATGATTATGGGTTTGAATCCCGGTTCGCCCCGATTATATTTCTAGGTGCTCGTGGGTTTCACCGAAGTGGTAAACGTCTGAGATCTGTATCACTTCGGGCTTTCCTCCCACATTAAGCTGACACACCGCGATATACTTTAATACTGTTAAAAGCGGCGTTAAACCCTACTCACTCACTACTCTGCCTGGCGTTCAGCATTGATGGGATAAAACAAGGACAGGCCGGCTCGGAGTACAATTTATCTGAGTGGTTTATCCACGTTAAGCTGGCTGGTACTATAAAACCAGCATAACTCTGGACTAGTACATGCAGCCACACACACGTGCGTGGATATAAAAGAACCCCATTTCATATCACATCATGTAACTCAAGCAGAAACAGGGTTGTTAAGATTACAAAGGGAGGTTATCTACATGTACACGTACATTATCAGCGAAGAGGGTTCGTCCGCAAAGCTCGTGTCGAACTCGGTCCAAGGTATTCTTGACATTTTGACCGTAATCCTGAAACCGGGATGAAAGCTTTGATCTGCTGTGACGACCAAACATAATGTACACAATCAACTATTATTGTCAAAACCAGGCGAATGCAATTAATGGAAACATTTTGATTGTTTCAAGTTTCAGTCAGATTTATTTTTATTCTCTCCATTCTCTGACACAGGGATTAAGCAGACCATGGCTGATAACATAATTTGAGACTGAGGAATGTTAAAGTCTTCTTTCAGGTCGGGTATTCACAGACTACTTTCTTATGTCGTACGTCTTAGTAGTGGGGTCAAGGAGAAAATTTCCCTTTTCAACACCATCTTTGCCCTTGATGGTGATGGCTGTGCCGTTGATGGTGTCGTCCTCCATTGCCAACAGGAACGCCTCAACCACCTGGTTCACCCTTGAACGTATAGAAGAACTTACTCTATAACGAGATGCAAGTGCAACATAACAAGATGTTGAATTTTCTATCCGAACATAAAATAAGTAATAAATTCATTATTTCGAAAATACTACATCTGTATCCTTCTTCCAAATACTTATGATTGCGGGTTCGAATCCCGGTTCGCCCCAATTATGTTGCTAGGTTTGTCAGCACCATACCCGTGCTCGTGGGTTTCACCGAAGTGGTAAACATCTGAGACCTGCATCAGTTCGGGCTTTCCTCCCACATTAAGCTGACACGCCGCGATATGACTGGAATACTGTTAAAAGCGGCGTTAAACCCAACTCACTCACTCACTCACTCACTCACTCTTCCAGATACGTTCATTAAGTGCAGTCGACAGGCCAGTTCTTGTTTGATACCATTATTATGACATGTCTATGATCACGTACAAGCGGAGGTGAGTTTCGTAACAGTTATGGTTTTCCGTCGATTTTGACAATATTCCAGCAATATCATGGGAGGGGACACAAGAAATGGTTTTGACACATTGTACCCACGTGGGTAATCAAACCTGGGTCTATGACTGACCAATGAACGCTTTAACCACTAGGCTACCCCAACCTCCTCGTATCTAACGAGAACGAGTGTGCTATTGTATTTTTTATGCATGTAAAATGTTTATATGGGTGTATGTATTTAACAATTTTCGTTTCAGTTATTTGTAACCGTGGCAGAGAGTAGCTTCGTAGTATTCGTTGTAGTTAAACAACGTGTAAAGGGGACTATATATGCTCAGTGCAAAACAATCCGGAAGGAAATGACATACTTTTAAACGATTGATATTCTGGTATTACACCGTTTTCACCCGTGTAGAATGGGTAAGGCTTCAAATGGTTACAACAGACACCGGTTTGGCAAGGGCACGGGCATAGCGCGTTAAAATAAACATATTAATTAAAGCCACCGTCGAAGTCAAGCCAGGGGGATCCGGGCCTTGCGACGGCTAAGGGACGCAACTCTTTACAACCAATTGCGGACCTTCATGTGATTGGACCACTCGCGCATCTGGTTGCGCATTATAAATATATGCCACAACATGAACAATTCTATAACTAACGTGCCAAATAAAGTTACCTGATGTTATTATTTGTGCAAAAATTATAAACATATCAACGATTGACACATTTCTTTCAGTGAGTGAGTGAGTGGGCTTCACACATTGTACCCATGTCGGGAATCGAAGCCGGGTCTTCGGCGTGACGAGCGAACGCTTTAACCACTAGGCTACCCTACCGCCCCCATTTCTTTCAGAACTGTTTCTTTGTATGAGCAATAATCGCACTGCTGCTGTCAGTTTCAGAATATTATTGATGCATGCTTACGTGCAGTACGAAACCTGTTCCATAACCTGCTTGAAGTGTTCGCTGTTAATCATCTGTTCATCAGTCACTTCCAGAAGAGCTGTCTTGGATCCCGATGGGCATATACTGACCAGGCGGACTTCAGCGGACGTCAAGTCAGGATTTTGCTGATGAAATATATAAATGCATAATTAAGTAAGCTGTAAACACATTTCCAACCAACCAATGAAGTATCATCTGCGGTCATTCACCTGTTCCATTGTTTGTTGTTTTACGCCACACTCGGCACTTTCAGCAATATTCCAGCTATATGATGGCAATTTATAAATAATCGAGTCTGGACCAGACAATACATAGATCATCGTGAACATCGATCCACGCAATTGAGAGTGAGTGAGTATGGTTTTACGCCGCTTTTAGCAATATTCCAGCAATATCACGGCGGGGGACACCAGAAATGGGCTTCACACATTGTACCCATGTCGGGAATCGAACCCGGGTCTTCGGCGTGATGAGCGAACGCTTTAACCACTAGGCTACCCGACCGCCCCACGCAATTGAGATACGATGACATGCATCAACCAAGTCAGCGAGCCTGGCCACACTCTTACATAGTCGCAATTTACGGCAAGCATGGGTTGTTGAAGACCTATTCTTACCCAATCTTCACGGGTTAAAACAATCAAGTGATTGACCACCTGTGATTGCTCCATTGAAGTCTTTCCATTGAATGACGACTTACTGTTTGTACATTGTGACTTTCAAACGCGAAGTAGAAATAAGGTTCAAATGTGAAGCGATTTTTTTTAGATGGCACTACCAGGATCGATATGACTGTGATATGTATAACAAAATTATTATAATATAATAATTATGTACAAATGTATTTCTTAATTGCCCCTTAAATTGATTGTGTCGAGCGCATAGAAGATTCACTTACTGCCCAACTCGCCGTGAAATGATAAACAGCACTCTTACTTGCTCCATAGACAGGAAACCAGTATGTAGGACGCAAACCTTCAACAGAATTGTAGGTGAGCTTAATACTGGCGTTCGAAATTCATAAGGTCAACGCCAGACAATAACCAGTCTCCATTATCTGCCGACACAGAGTCTGTGGGGCGAAAAGGCAAACTAATGAAGATACAGTAAACTACGGTTATAACGAACACGCTTATAACGAACTGACGGATATAACGAACTAACTTTTTAGTCCCGACTATTTGCTGTAGTTATGCTGTATATATGCTTATAACGAACTACGGTTATAACGAACTGAAACTAGTAGTCCCTTTGAGTTCGTTTATAACCGTAGTTTACTGTATATGAATAGATCACTGATAATCAGTGATGATACAAGGTACAGGCGAAAAAGGTACCCACGTCCTGTCCCACCGATAGCAGCCCGCCACTCGCACAATTTCCCAAAGAAATAGACTTAGTCTAGAAGATGTCACATCAACTCATTATCATTCATTATACACATACATATAATATATAATGTTTGTTTGTTTTGTTTGTTGTTTAACGCCATACGCCATGACGGCGGTCAGTAAATAATCGCGTCAGGACCAGACAATCCAATGACTGACAACATGAGCCTCGATCCACGTAATTGGGATCGATGACATGCATCAACCAAGTCAGCGACTTGGATAGATCCGGGATAGAATCCGGGATAGAATAGGTCTTCAGCAACCCATGCTTGCCGTAAAAGGCGACTATGCTTGTCGTAAGAGGCGACTAACGGGATCGGGTGGTCAGGCTCGCTGACTTGGCTGATGCATGTCTGTATTGTCTGGTCCAGACTCGATTATTTAGAGACCGCCGTCATATAGCTGTAATATTGCTGAGTGCGGCGTTAAACAACAAACAAACAAACAAACAACCAAGTCAGCGAGCCCGACCACTGTTCATATAAGGCATTTGTCAGGTAACGCATACCCCATGGAAGCAACCAGCATCTATGTGCACTATAGCCCAGACGTGAGGTCCAGGAAAACAATTACACATTGAACGAAAGGAATAACAATGTATGACTTGCCATTGAGTGAGTGAGTGAGTGAGTATGGTTTTACGCCGCTTTTAGCAATATTCCAGCAATATCACGGTTGGGGGACACCAGAAATGGGCTTCACACAATGTACCCATGTCGGGAATCGAACCCGGGTCTTCGGCATGACAAGTGAACGCTTTAACCACTAGGCTACCCGACCGTCCCACCTGCCATTGAAGCGGTGTTGATGATGACGCCGCCTCTACCCCCTTTGTCCTTCCTCATGTGATTCAGCGCCATCACGGTCCCCCGCACAACGCCACCCTGTATATAGAGGAGAAAGATAAATAAAGTGGAGAAGTATGGCAGAGCGAAACGCTACTGAGGCATAAGTTTGAGAGAAGCAGCGGGGATTGGCTGTGTTGACTCTGTGAGGTGGGTTGTCGGAAGAGGTGGGGCGGAAGGGGGTGGGGATTGTGGGTTCTTACTTATAGTTTAATAATGCTTTGAGCGTTATTAAACACAAAACAGGCAGTGTTATTAGAACAGGAATACAAAGTCATCGACCCCCCGTCCTTTGAGATATGTGCATAAAATCACGTGCAGCATGTCATATTCCTCGTGTGATGTATGGTATCATATTTCATCAAGAAATATTTAAAAGACTAAGTTATGAGTTATGCTTTGTAAAATGAAACCCTTCAGCTTTATATTGCACAACACAAAAGCAAAAGCATATTATATGACATACACGTTAATGTTGACTGTCCCATTCAGAAGGTTCAAACAGTATAAATTGTTGGCTTATCGATGCTGAGGATGAAGTTGATAATAGTAACACAGTGTAGACCCGTGAAGATCCGGGGTCTTCAGCAACCAATGCTTGACATGAAAGGTGACTAAGATTGTCGTAAGAGGCGACTAACGGGATCGTGTGGTCAGGCTCGCTGACTTGGTTGATGCATGTCATCGTATCCCAATTGCGTAGATCGATGCTCATGTTATCAATCACTGTATTGTCCGGTCCAGACTCGATTATTTGCAGACCGCCGTCATATAAATGGGATATTGCTGAGTGCGGCGTTAAACAACAAACAAACAAAAGTAACAGTAGGAGAAGTTTCACATACTTACGAAGTTGATGTCGAGCTGTTTTTCCCAGATAGATTCATCCAGTATGCCTGCATTGTTGCACATGACATCAATTCGACCAAATTTTGACACGGCAGATTGGAAAGCATCTAGATAATAACATGTCCATATGTTTTATGAAGGACTTTCTTAAGAGGTAAGGTGAAATGGCGTACAACGTTGCATTGAAGAGAATTATTTCCCTTTATACAGGGACGTGCGTGCGTGCATATGCCGGTTTTATAGTGCTAGCCAAGTGAGATACCATGCCGCAGTTTAAGATGGATTACCCACTCACACAGTGTGCGGAATCGTCGAGTCCTTGTTTTATCCCCTGAATGCCGAGCGGAAGACAGGGTAACAACAAGTACCATCTTTCAAGTAAATGCTTTTTTTCTAACGACGCGGCCGGGGATGGAACCACTGACCTTCCGCTCTTCGGGCAAACGATTTATCCACTATTTTATTAAGTTAATTAAATTAAATAGAATAACCTTGACCTGCTTTAAACATCAGTATGAGTCCAAAATAATTTTGTTTCGAAAAAGAATATTTATTTTAACGTGTAGCAAAGACCACCTCAACAACAACGCCAAACAACATTGTTTTCACCAGCATACTAAACCAAATACCACATCAGTGTGTGTTTCATGGTGACAGTTGTGTACCCTTTCAACTTTTGCGTCCTGTGACAATTGTGTATGAAAGTGCAGCTCTCCGGCAGACGCTCAATTCACAGACCAAGGAGGCAGACTTCATTGAGAAGGCATATGCTTACGATTTATTTGAATAAAACGTAATGTATAGTTGGACTCGGATTTTAAATGCATAATTGTTGGTTGGTTGGTTGTTGTTTAACGCCGCACTCAGCAATATTCCAGCTATATGACGGCGGTCTGTAAATAATCGAGTCTGGATCTGACAATCCAGTGGTTCACATCATGAGCATCGATCCATGCAATTGGGATACGATGACATGCATCAACCAAGTCAGCGAACCTTGACCACCCGATCCCGTTAGTCGCCTTTTAAGACAAGCATAGTCGCCTTTTATGGCAAGCATTGGTTGTTGAAGACCTATTCTACCCCCGATTTTCACGGGTCTCACCTCAACATAAAAACAATTCAGGCAATTCAGTGACAATAGCTCACATCTCTTCATTCCGTCTTGGTCCAATACTGTTATATTAACAGAAGTTTAGTTTCTAGCCGAGAGTCCCATACTCACAGCACGTTTTCCATATTGTGAGAGTGAGTGAGTATGGTTTTACGCCGCCTTTAGCAATATTTCATCAATATCACGGCGGGGGACACCGGAAAATGAGCTCCACATATTGTACCCATGTGGGGAGTCGAACCCTGGTCTTCGGCGTGGTGACGAGCCAACGCTTTAGCCACTAGGCTCCCCCCCCCCCCCCCCCCCCCCCCCCCCTCACACACACACCCCGCCCCTCCATAGTGTAAGAAAGTTCAGTTTCCCACCATAAAACGCAGCAGCATCCGACACGTCACATCTGACAAAGACGACATTATCTGGTCCACAGGAAGCTTGAAGTTCCTTAGCAGTTGCTTCAACAAACTCGACGTTCACATCCGCAAGACAAACCTAAAACGGGAAGACACGTACAGAATATATATCCTTTTTCTATAATGTACATGTACTATACTTATGGTCGCCCCGTGAAGGTCCGGGTTAGAATTAGACACAATTTATGGATAACAACTTCTTGAATACTCTAAAGGCGACGTTCGGTGTACATAAAAATGCCTTGATCTCTGTTGATTGATGGCTTGTGGCAGCGAATGTAGACAGCTTCTGTTAGTCTTCAGAAAACACCAACAAGTGATGATCTTTCAGTCTTATACAAAGCCTATATATCAGATTACAAATGTCCAAACTCCAAGGGCCCGAACATGGGTTTAATGGAACTGTAGGCAGATAACCACAAGGTGTTCATTCATTCAACAAAGCATTCATCACAAGGTGTGGTGACTTCATGCCACTTTCTAACAGAACAGATCTGAACAAAACAATGGTTTTACATGTGAAATTGAAAGGTATATAATTATGTTTTGTTTGTTTGTTTATTTGTTGTTCAACGCCGCACTCAGCAATATTTACTCAGCTACAGTAAACTACGGTTATAACGAACTCAAAGGGACTACTATTTTTAGTTCGTTATAACCGTAGTTCGTTATAAGCATATATACAGCATAACTACAGCCAATAGTCGGGACTAAAAAGTTAGTTCGTTATATCCGTCAGTTCGTTATAAGCGTGTTCGTTATAACCGTAGTTTACTGTATATGACGGCGGTCTGTATATAATCGAGCCTAGACCAGACAATCGAGCGATTGACATCATGAACATCGATCTACGCATTTGGGATACGATGACATTCATCAACCAAGTCTGACCATCCGATCCGGTTAGGTACCTCTTACGACTAGTCACCTTTTATGTCAAGAATTGGTTGATGAAGACCTATTCTACCCCGGATCTCCACAAGTCAGTTATATATGCACATGAAAATATTGTATTTCATTCACACACTGAAAGTAATTATGACATTTTGAAACAAAGTAAGACAAGACGCGACCATTACATGGAACTGTAGTCGTAAAGTATCCTCACCTTTGCACCCTTCTTCAGCACAGCTTCAGCCACGGCCCTCCCGAACCCCCTTCCACCTCCAGTGATGAACACTACTTTGTCTTTCAGATGCATCTCGGTTTGCGTTATGCTGCAGGTAAGGATATATACACACAAATAGTGACCCAGACATCGGTATATTACTAATAAGGATGTTGAACAATGTTTGGAACGCGGTCTCTTCACTTTGGACTACACAATCCACCCTGTATATAAGAAACCGTCTTAATCGGTGGAAAGTGCAGGTGAAGTTAATTGGTCAACATTACCCAAACAGTTATAAACATCTTCCTAGATTGATGTGTCACAATGCTTAACTGGCCATTTCGCCGCTAACGCTGCAGTAGTGCCTCACCCACATTTGAGCCGACTCATAATTGTAAAATGCATTAAGGGCGAGGGTGCATGCACACACTTGAAGTCGAACAAAACATAGACGGGCCTATTGTATTAAGGCGCAATAATTTTTTTGTTATTAAAAGCCTTAAAGCTTTAAATGATTAAAAGTTGGACTCGCCCAGCGTGAGAATGCAAGAGTGAACATGACTGTTACCTGTTTCACCTGTGATAGTGGGTACACTGTGTGAAGCCCATTTCTGGTGTCCACAGCCGTGATGTTGCTGGAATATTGCTAAAAGCGGCGTAAAACCATACTCACTCACTCACCCGTGATAGGAGATAAACTGGTCCATACTGACACAACAAAACAGTATAGGCACAATGGGATACACTTCGGAAATGAAATAAAACCATAACACATAATGAAAGTCACGGATATATTATACTTATAATATAACACAGAAGAAACATATAACAACAGTTTTGGCAATATTTTCAAATTCAATCAATTAACCACAGACTGGTTGTGTTCTGACGCTTATCTAATAAAATCTGATTAAACCAACTGGTCTGTTCAAATACACAGCTGGCCCGATCTGAGTACACAGAGGGTATTACAAAATTAATCTATATAGATATAGGTTGCCACGCCAGTCTAAATACATAAGGGGCTGTCGGGTAGCCTAGTGGTTAAAGCGTTCGCTCGTCACGCCGAAGACCCGGCTTCGATTCCCGACATGGGTACAATGTGTGAAGCCCATTTCTGGTGTCCCCCGCAGTGATATTGCTGGAATATTGCTAAAAGCGGCGTAAAACCATACTCACTCACTAACTCACTAAATACATAAACAGACATCGGATGAAACCATCTGTTACGTAACCAGCTTCTGTATCAACAACAGGACATCGACTCTGGTCTTTGAATTTCCTTTGGGGGCACCAACGCTGCATTACGAACTCGAGATCTGGATTTTCTCCCAGAGGAAATATCCCACTGAGCTCATATACGGCAGGTGCGACAAAGGGCTGACATCGGAGTAGGGAACCTTCGCTTGTGTAGTATATACCCCAAGCGGCCAGCCAAGGCTATCAAGTGTATTTTTTAACAAACTGTAAACCGATACTACGGTTTAGCATTTAAACTTACATACGTAAAAAGACCATCATGATAAGGTACAACGTCTGCACTTTAAAAGCCCAAGTGGTCTATTATTTATCTCCTAAATGGTACCTAAAATCCAGAGGGAATTTAACATTACATACACAAAGCAATAGCAATAACAGGGGGCGTTCCTTCGATATGGAACCTGACGTATATATATATTTACAGACTGATATCTGTGCAAAGTTTCACATTTGATATGTAACAAGTTAAACTCTCGAAATACACCTAACTCTCATTTCAACATTTCATCATATGTCCGACCCGTTGCCTTGTAATGTATTAAATATAAGCAACAAAGGCATTTCCATACTCAAGCAATAAAATTCCTGAATAGCAAACTCATTCAGATCGGCTCTTGCCTGAAAGTTACTTCAAAGTTTCAAAGAAAGGCTTGGGCTATGCTCAATAAAAGAAAATAACCTTTATTTCTACTTGAATCCGACTTGCTGACTTGGAAACGCAACAATACAAATTAACATTGGCATTTTCAACACTGTTTAACTGCCTGTGCAACCTACGAGACGAAGAGACACCGATGATTTGAATCACTATCAAATGGTGAGGATACGAGGTGTTCGCGAAAGGTTTGGGGTATACTGCCGCACCCGTCGTACCCGTCACAAACACATGCAAAGGCAAATCACATGTTCACCTGAACAAACGCGGCTACAAACTCAACTTGAAAGCAAGCTCAAAATACTTATCACTGTCAACAAATGCGTTGACTCCCATATCACAACAAGTGCAGAAACCGTGTACATGTCTTCGTCTGTCTTCCATGTTCGCTAGCCTTTGTGTGTATATATCTACATACGAACTAATCCTCTCATTAATGATTATGGGCTGTTAGTGTCCTGCATGGTTGTAACTCACCGCTTTAACTTTGTGGCAAACCCTCCGACATCGAACACTGGTCACCAGCTCAGTTTGTGTACTATGAATGTAGTCTTCATGACAAGACCAGCTGGCGTGGCAACGGTTGTGCATGCCATTAGCAATTAGTTAGACCTTGTCACACACGAACCATTCTAATGAATAAACATGCACAGGATTGTTTTGCACGACGACTTATCACCCATTAGTGTGTATCTGTTGACAACACGAAGATATACTTATATAAAAATGCTATGTTAATTTAAGACAAACAATATTTTTAAAAAATAATGAAAAGACAGAAATGACATAAATAGCACTTCGACTGTGGCAGGTTTATGTTAAAGTATGGGAGTACGGACACCTTAGCGCTAAGATCGCGTTGTGCAGCAGCATCCTGGTCTGTTTTCAACGTTCATACGGTGTACGTATCAATATCTGGATCTCAAAGGAGGGAATTTCTTCAATTTATACTGACTGATTAGTACGTTTCTTACATGCCTAGGGGCGGTAGGGTAGCCTAGTGGTTAAAGCGTTCGCTCGTCACGCCGAAGACCCGGCTTCGATTCCCGACATGGGTACAATGTGTAAAGCCCATTTCTGGTGGTCCCCGCCTTGATATTGCTGGAATATTGCTAAAAGCGGCGTAAAACCATACTCACTCACTCTAACTTGCCTCGTCATGACATATCGCAATAAAGACACGTTTGTAAAATAACTTCCTATGCGTTAATACAGATTCTACCATGAATTTGGAATTTACTCGATTCTGATTGGTCAATCAGGGACTATTAAATCACAATAAACCCCCTCTGATTGAAACAGCTGGTTTGACGGCCGCATCACCGCGGAAGCTAATATTCATAGAATAGAGCTTTTTTCAGTCATTGTCGGAAGGCATTTTTAAATAATTATATCTACAATAACATGTTACAAAATGCACAGATGCGGTTACTACAATATTCAAAGGATGTGTGGCTAT